CCATCATTTTTGCCAGTGTGGGGACACGTTCTAGCTCGTATAGCTGAAGAACAAGAGGACTCAATGTTGTCTGATTCGTTCCAACATGTCAGCTTTCATTGTAGTTTGATATGGGGTTGTGCTAAGCGCTATCAAAGCTACATGTACATGTATCAAAACCAAGTACCAACAGGAGAGTAATCATGAAGAAAAGCAGCTGTTGATAATGTGTGCACCCAGGGTTTTCCGGCAAATTCACTAGTTCAGCTATTCCATCCTTATATTGTTCTGAACGCCGAGGGCTCTAGCGAGTTTATGCAACACCTAACAGCCAAAAATCCAATAAGCTATGACCAAAGCAGCAGCAGAGAAGTACAAGCAATATAGATACGTGAATTTACCAATTTTAGGCAAATTTTGACAGTTTTTTGGATTTTTCTCCAGAATATGCACGGTGAACCCTATTTTCGCCGCGGTAAACCTGTTCCAACCCACTTATAGAACGTATTTGAAGTATCCATATATGGGGCAAACTCAAAAATAAGCTGCAAAAAATATTCAAAGTTTCATTTTTTGCGTCTTTTTGTTCTTCTCCAGGAAATGACGACCTGGATGCCATCGTCAACCAAAGTGTACATTTTTCGGTGTTGATATCATCTTAGTAAATAGCTCGAACAGTCTGTATAATTTTATGTCATAATTTCTGTCCTATCTGGTGTTATGGACGATTTCTCATCAATTTTCGGATTTTGCGATATTGTGTGTTATCAAGGAAAATTGTGTTTTTGGCAAGACCTATTCAGGCAATTGAAAAACTGATGTTACTAAGTGAAAATATAAGGCTGTACCTATTCAAACCTCATGTCAGATAGGGCTGATGTTGAAATTAAATTTTTGGGCCTAACTGTCCCCAACCCCCTTAAGTGGACAGGAAGTGAGATTCAAACTGAATACCAAGGTTAGCAGTTGTAGTGCTTAATACGCCGATACGACTGATGCAGTGTGTCAAAACTACAGTGTGTCGTACTGGATCAGTGGAATAGCTTCAGGCCAATGGTGAATGTCTGGTTAGAAGTACAGCACTGGACAGGATGATGGTGTCGGGAATGCAAACATTGACTGTATCAGCATTTAGAATTGCAATTAAAATTAACAGAACTGTCAGGATAGACATACAATGGAACTCACTCAGTATATACATGGGTAAGGTGTGAACCTGCTGAGTTTGGTTCTTCTTCGTCGCGCAGATTTTCCTCCCATGAGCACATATACAAATGTGGACGGATACGACATCCTCTGATAAGATTTACTTCGAGTACAACTCGTGTATGACAGACTTTTCAGCTGGGTTCCAACAGAGATTAGAATTAAACACTATTGGTCGGCTGTTTGCGATGCCAATCAGTAGTCATTGCACCCAGTCGCGGATACTATTGCCGCTCAAGCATGAGCATTTGCTTTGCCCGTTTGCAACGCCAATTGCACCACCATGGTTGGCTGTTTGTAACTTTGATCAGGAACCTTTGCTCCCGGTCGCAGGTACTGTTGCGACTCAAGCCTAGTCCACATTCGACGGGGCGCGACGGGACGCGACGTAAGGATCGACGGGAAGCGACGGGACGGTCTGACGGCGTCCAATGTGAACACCAGGAACGGGAACGCAACCGTACTACCGTACAGATCGGGAAGAGACGGGAAGAGTTGGATCGATCCAACTTTTCATACCGTAGACGGGCGTAGACGGGGACGCAAGCGTACAAAACGGCTGTAATTTGAGTGTGAACAGGAGACGGCATCGTGCGCCGACTACTCCCGATTCGTACTTGGATATTTTTAGCATTTTGAACAGTGTGCTTCCCATGATAACTCACAGAATGGCTAACACGACTTGAGTTAAATTTTAGCAACATAAGATCTCATGTCACCTATTGTATTTAGGGATAGTTCAGAAGCGTGACAGATGAACTATTCTATCATTTCCTTGGGCTATTATTTGAATGCCACAACTTCCAGGGGTAATTTTTCAATCTTCATGAAAAACTGGTATTATGAACTTGATTCCGCTTCTTTCAAGGAGAAATAATCGAAAAAAGTCCCGAAAAACGAGAAAATAGGTCCGAAAGTCACCCCGTCACGGACCGTGCCTTATGACTCGCGCCGTTCGACGTTAAACGTCGCAAAGACTGCTGCATGTAGTGTCGTACGAATTGTACAGGATTTTACAGCTCACCTTAGCCCTCCCGACAAGCCCTTACGTCCCATACCGTCGGCGTTGCGTCGAATGTGAACTAGGCTTCACTCAAGAGCGATCGCCTTGGCTGTTTGCAGCGCAAAATTCGGGACTGAGTAGAAATGTTCGGATTGTAAAGCTGGGTGGTGAAGTGAGGTGCCCTAAAGTCCGAATATATCTGATTTGCGAAAATTTCTATCCGGTGGCGGGGCAAAATCTGGGAAAGAGCAGAAGTGTTTTGACTGGGGAGGTGGGCGGTTTAGTGAGGGGGTCTAATGTCAGAATAGTCCTGAATTCGCGCTTATGAAGGTAAACTAAGGACCGAGCGCAAGTGGTCGGGCTGGTCGGAAAGCAGAGTTCCATTGTATATCTTCTTTCATTTTTTAAGTGATCTAACCCTAGCCATTATGACAGTGCATAGGCCATGAACCGTGAAATTAACTTAGTGCGTACTTGTGTCAATTTTAACAATTTTAAAAAGCGAGAGCAATCACGAGTGTGTGTGCTAACAATTAACTTGCAAATGAAAAACAAGAGAAAGAAAGAAGGACAAAATGAGAACACAAAACAGCAGTACATTTCGCAAAGAAAACCAAAGGCCAAGCTTGACCACACCACACCCGACACATTACGTGAACACTGTCAACCATATTATGTTATCTTTCTGTACACATATAATTATTAGGCTTGTACAAAGGCTGATATATGGCTTTCAAAACTTTTAACTGTAGTCCACAACACTGACAACCACGGCACAATACAGTGAAGCAAGAGTCAGAATACGAATCGCAACGATCAGGACTAGCTAGCAGATGATTGTACACTGAAGATGTTCTACTGCTAAACCTAAGAACAACACCAACACTCTGACAACTGCAATTTTTCAATTTTAGGATTTCGAACAATATGCTTCCCATGATAACTTACAGAATCATCCACAAGAACGAGTTGGATTGTACCAAGCTACTTGGATAATCATTTGCTGTGATTGTGGATTGTCCTGGGGCTGTTCAGATGAACTGTTTTATCCTTTACTGTTGTTCCATTTAGAATTGTGTTAGGTACATCCTCCCGTATGTTCTACAACCTTTTCCAAGCTGACCTGCATGCACACTCGTACTCACCTTTCTCCTCTTGTCAACTTTTGTTCCGTTGACCTGGGTAGCTACTTGCGAGCCTATGTTTGCCATAGCTACACATGGCCTTCATATTGCCGCACTCACTCAATCTCGCTCTCTCTTTTTCATAATGTAGTTGCTTCGTTCGTCTTTGTCACCGTCTCTTCACCTATAATAAATGTCTTCCCAACTACCCGTTCCCGTTGTTCTTTGTTCGTTGTGTCTGCGAGTATGACTCCTCTTCCTTATCAACAATAGCAAAACTATGGCTGATTTTTTGGTCTTCATACCAGACTGGAGCATCATACCACTTAAATTGAGAAGAACTAGTAGAAAGTTCAGAAAAGTAAAGCCACATGGACTGTACTTTATGACTCGTGTCCATCGATGTTAACAGGCACAATAACTGCTGCATGCTGGGTGCACTGAGCTAGGTGAGAGTTGCTCTGTCTCACTCACGGCTCAGATCTTTGTGCAAGTCATTAATTTTTGTTCCTTGTTTCAGTGCATACTTTAGGCAGATATTTGACTTTGTCCAATAGCCAATGAACGGAGGGTCCCTTTGCGAAAATATCATAGAGGGTCATGTAGGCCAACCAGTGAAAAAGAGATTCAACTTGTATGAATTTGGAAATTTGGCAGGTGATAGTTGGTCATTACAGAAATTGACTCGTACACGTGATGATGAGCTAATTACCCGGATGTTGGATGTCACTAGAGCTATCAGCATTTTTTTGACTGTTTCTGACAATACAATGCCAATATGTGTAGAAACAAATATTTTGATAATGTACTGAAGAATTTGTTGTGGTACCATTTGGCATGCGTGTGCTATATTCTTCACTTCATGTTCAGATTTATTTCATGCACTTCGTGGTGGGTGTGGCTGCATTGGCTGCTTCAGCCACGACGAGATATTACTGGTTGTTCTGCCGCCCTTTTGTATGCATTGTTCCACGTGTCTTTTCCTGGACTAAGTGCTGGTGATTTTGTTCTTCCTCTTGTTCTTCTCTTTCTCTCTTCACTGCTAACTTGCATTATCTGTACTACATATTTTTTCACCAAGAGGTTTTCGTGTTGTGTTGGGCAAAGGATTGGTTTTAGAAAAGATATATGGCACCTTTTGCACCACACATACAGATACAAAACGAATGCTGATTCGTCACCTCAGTTCGAGGATTCGTCAGAGTCCCTGCGGAGAGCTCATTTTCACGAATGGAAACCTCTTCATTCGGGCAGGCTCCAAATTCGTCAGATACACCTTTTTGCTAGGTACACATTTTTCCCTTAACTCTACGTGTGCGTGTGTGTAAAAATGCGTACGCCAAGCTATCAGCCGTATTTGTTGTCGCCATGGACATTTGCATGACGACTTGCGAAACCTGGATCTGTTTTCAACGAAACGAGGACGAGCCGAATCAAACTTTCCTTTCTCAGTCAATTCGCAGCAGATGCGAAAGGTCCCTATACATCCAGTTCTCCCACACATTTATTGAATGTATTAGCTGCTCAATATCTTGATTACCGATTACAGCATTCTATCTATTCAGTACCTTTTTACTTTCTCTGCTGTGAGAACAGAGAAAAAGTTCATTTTGGGGCTAATCATAGCAACCATCACATTAGAATTCTGAAAAATCTCAGCAATAAACACCACACAAGCACTAACTTACTTTCACACTATGGTCATTGACATCGGTTACAGCATAGCAAATACCATGCTGGGGCAGAGACAGTGCTGCAACACCATACGATGTACCGATAGTACCGTTACCAATCGTTTTCACGTAAGACCCATCCTGATGTAGGACCTGGAAGAGAAACACATTTGTTTTCCTGGTAAGTATAACTGCAAGATCTTCGCCCTAAACCATTAAAAACAAAAAATGAATGAATCCTGTTCCTGAGTGCAATGTTCCAACAACAAGGAATACAGTCAACAGAGAGGTGAACAGAGTGTTGCAGCAGGCTTGATAGGCAATTGGACAGGCAAGATGAGAGTACAGAGGGGTACAACACAGGAAGCAAAGATGCAGGCAGTGAGTTGAGATAGGAGAGTGTCAGGGAGAGGATGAAAGCCTTGTTACAGGCGTTATTTCTCACTTAAGAAATTCAAAATATTAGTCCTCTGGCCTAATTTGTGTTCTTTAGAACAATGTTTTCTTCCTGATGAGAGTTGTACAATAACTACTTGAGTCAAGTGGGTTTTTTGAAATTCCATCATTGTCCATCATCAACCGCGATATTATTATCCACTTTTCTTCTTTGTCCATCACAGAATTAGTGAAATGTTTCATATCTGTCATCAGTGGAATGCCGTCGCATAAAAATGTAATAACTAAAACACACACTTATATATAATATATAAGTTTCCGTGCATGGCACGGTAAGTGGAGTTAGCAACACACCAACATCCTTGCCATAAGCAACACTTGTACATGCATAACATGCACGCACTCCGAATTCCCGCGTTTCCGCACGGGACTGTGCGGAGCATGCGCATTACTCCAATTCGCCATGCTGTTGTTTCTTGCTCTTCGCTTTGCTGTGTTGACGGTCAAATTGTTTGACTATCGCGGCCAGTTTCTGATCAGCGATGTCCAGCCAAAACGCTCTTTGCTTTTCTGCGCTGACGGTCAAATTGTTTGACTATCGCGGCCAGTTTCTGATCAATATCCGATCAACCATGTCTCTGTCAGTGAGCGATGTCCAGCCAAAACGCTTCGTTTGCTTTGCTGCGCTGAAGCAGTGACGGTCAAATTGTTTGACAATCGCGGCCAGTTTCTGTTCAATATCCGATCAACCATGTCTCTGTCAGTGAGCGATGTCCAGCCATAACGCTCTTTGCTTTGCTGCCTTGACGGTCAAATTGTTTGACAATCGCGGCCAGTTTCTGATCAATATCCGATAAACCATGTCTCTGTCAGTGAGCGATGTCCAGCCAAACTGCGCTCTGCTGAGCTGCGAAACGCATTGGCATCCCGCAATTATTTAGACCCGACAGGAACAAAACCTACTCCGCAGACTCGCCTGCTCGAGTTGAAGTTGGCTCCAGACTACTGTACGCGAGGACTTGGCCGCTCCGGCAGCGGAGCAGAACCTAGCCGAGGCAACTGCAGCCCCATCCCTGGCCTGGGAGACTTTAGTCGGGAGGAGGTTCCCGACGCTTGGAGCACGTATTGTGCGACTTACGCAGCAGCACACCCCTCCAGGGCCCCCAGAGCTGTTTTCGCACCAGCCCATAATCTTGAAGATGGCTCGGAAATTTAGGTCCCTGATGCTGAGCTCTCCTCTCTAAAGCTGACACGAAGTATGCCTGGCGGCTTTGGCCTGTTTCCCCTCATGTCTGGCCCCGGCTTGGCCTTTTTGGGAAGGTTCGTACCATGTAGATAAGGCACAACCATTTGGCCTTAGATCCTCCCCCTTCCGTTCGACAGACCGGCTGGTGTGGACTCTCAGCCCAACGGCGACTCTGCAATGATCCTGCTAAGTCTCTTACTCGTCTTCGAGTACAGCGCTTCCGGACTCTCAGCCCATCTACCGACGCAGTGCTGACACACCCTGCACAGTCCACCCTCCAGCAGTTGACGACGCAACCATGGACCTCATCCGCCAGTGCCTGGCGGCCAGTTCCAGCATAACATGCGCTTCGCTGCCGCGCTCCGAACACTTGTCGCCCTGCGCCAGGGCAAGCCACACTCAGGGACTGATCAGTGCCGGCAGCATTGTTCCAGATCCTGTACTTTGAGTGCATTGCCCACTGTGCTAATGGCTAGCCGCATTGGACGGCACTCACATCAATTGCAGTGTAATAGTAATGCAGATAAATCCTGTTTGGGTCAGGTTGTCAGCGCTGCCGGACTCGCATCCCAACTGCCGAAGTGGTGCCGACACAACCAGCGCAGTCCACCCTCCAGCAATTGACGACGCAACCATGGACCTCATCCGCCAGGGCCTGGCGGACAGCTCCAGCATGGCATGCGCTTCGCCGCAGCACTCCGAACGCTTGTCGCCCTGCGCCAGGGCAAGCCAACCTCAGGGACTGATCAGTGCCGCCAGCATTGTTCCAGATCCTGTACTTCGAGCACATCGCCCACTATGCTAATGGGCAGTCGCATTGGACGGCACTCACATAAATTGCAGTGTAATAGTAATGCAGATAAATCCTGTCTGGGTCCGGTTGTCAGCGCGTCTGGACTTGCAGCCCAACTGCCGAAGCGGTGCCGGCACAACCAGCGCAGTCCACCCTTCAGCAGTTGATGACGCAACCATGGACCTCATCCGCCAGGGCCTGGCGGGCAGCTCCAGCACAACATACGCTTCGCTGCAGCGCTCCGAACGCTTGTCACCCCGCACTAGGGCAAGCCATACCCAGTGACTGATCAGTGCCAGCAGCATTGTTCCATATCCGGTACGTTGAGCGCATTGCCCACTATGCTAATGGGCAGCCGCATTGGACGGCACTCACATCAATTGTAGTGGAATAGTAATGTAGATAAATCCTGTTTGGGTCAGGTTGTCGACGCTTCTGGACTCGCAGCCCAACTGCCGACGCAGTGCCGACACAACCAGCGCAGTCCACCCTTCAGCAGTTGACGACGCAACCATGTACTTCATCCGCCAGGGCCTGGCGGACAGCTCCAGCACGACATACGCTTCGCTGCAGCGCTCCGGACGCTTGTCGCCCCCGCGCCAGGGCAAGCTACACCCAGGGACTGATCAGTGCCAGCAGCGTTGTTCCAGATCCGGTACGTAGAGCGCATTGCCCACTATGCTAATGGGCAGCCGCATTGGACGGCGCTCGCATCTATTGCTGTAAATAGTAATGCCGATAAATCCTGTTTGGGTCATGTATTTTTGGGAGAACAGTAAGGATCGTGAGTCAGGCCGGCATTGAGCCAATTGCGCCTATATTCGCTCACAAGTGCATCCTTTAAGCCATCCCGTAAGGGAGAACAGTAGGGATCGTGGGTCAGGCCGGCATTGAGCCAAGTGCGCCTACATTCGCCCACAAGTGCATCCCTACTGCATGCTCGTGTATTGACACATCTGAATTCAACAGTAGGGATCGTGGGTCAGGCCGGCATTGAGCCAAGTGCGCCTACATTCGCCCACAAGTGCATCCCTACTGCATGCTCGTGTATTGACACATCTGAATTCAACAGTAGGGATCGTGGGTCAGGCCGGCATTGAGCCAAGTGCGCCTACATTCGCCCACAAGTGCATCCCTACTGCATGCTCGTGTATTGACACATCTGAATTCAACAGTAATGATCGTGGGCAGGCCGGCATTGAGCCAAGTGCGCCTACATTCGCCCACAAGTGTATCCCTACTGCATGCTCGTGTATTGACACGTCTGAATTCTTGCCGGGCAATTGTTGCCCCAGTTAGTGTCGGCATTGGCCATACTAACGCACAGCGGTGCTTGCAATACTAGCTCTGGCATTGGACCAGAATATTGCATATTGCATACGGCAATTGTTGCCTATCTCCTGGAAATACAACGCGTAATAGCTCCCAAACAGGTCGGCTTGTTGTGTGGTTGGTAAATATATATATAATACGTAGCTAATATGGTTTCAATTTCAAATTTGGACTTCACGGAGAATATCAAAGTATTATAGGAAAACAGAGGCCACATGCCACGTACTGCTCTTTTCTCTCCGAAACTCAACACTTGCAAGCCAGATATGAAAGAAAGAAAAAATCATCAGCCACACCACCGGGACTCCAACCAGGAATAGCAAGGTCCCTGGTTCGAGTCCCGGTGGTGTGACTGATGATTTTTTTTATTCTTTCATATCTGGCTTGCAAGTGTTGAGTTTCGGAGAGAAAAGAGAAGTACGTGGCATGTGGCCTCTGTTTTCCTATAATATGGTTTCAGGTAGAAATACAGCAGCCAGCAAGTACAAAAGGCGAAGTTTGCACCTTTGCAATGTGTGAATATAGTGTATTCACACTATATTCAAATTCTATATTTGTGACGGCGTTCCACTGATGACAGTCACAAGAAAACGTTATGGAACTTAACTTTCTTCATTTTTTCCTGTTGTTATGAGTGCACAATTTATCTTATTTATTGCCATTTTACGACTATTGTCTCCTCGTAGATTGCTTAATGATTTGTTTGATCTTCCAAGAAAAAAAGCTTTCATAACTGACAATTCGGCTTTTCATTATCATGAGTGCATGCAGACGCGTATCTCCTGGATGAGAAAAAAAACGTCTAGTCGTGCTCATCTAGGAGAGACGCGTTCGCATGCGGCACACCGACAAACTCACATCCTTAATTGCCATTTTGACTGCCTACAATCGATTGATTGATCGATCGAACCTGGAAACAACAAAATTCAAGATCGACTTCGTCTTTGACTTCATTGCCTTCACGATCGATCGCGGTCGCGTTTTCTTTGAGTAACTTTGATGTCACATTTTGATGAAAGTTGAAATCAGGTCCTAAGGTACTGTTGAGTCCAAACAAGAGACAGACGACGACGGAACAGGTAGGATGGTGGAACGACATTTATTAGAGACGGGATGACTAAGACCAGGACGAACGTAACGACTACAAGATGAATATTGAAGAGGGAGATTATTGAAGGGAGCTTATTGAAGAGAGAGATTATTGAAGAGAGAGTTTTGAAGAGAGAGCAACGCAATATAAAGGGCCTGGGTAGCTATGGCAAACATGGGCGTGCAAGTAGCTACCCAGGCCAACTGATTAATGCATTAACTAATGAATATGAACTAATGAATATGAACTAATGAATATGAACTAATGAATATGAACTTATGAATATGAACTACATG